CTTTGTGATGAGTTATTCACATAATTACTGTTCGGTACTTCTGGAGGTTAACAGGAACAGACTTAATATTCGCATACACTTCTTTCTCCTATGAACAAGATAATTTGTCACATGAAGGTTAGTCACCCTCTGCTGTAATTAGGTATCTCTTTCTAATTCTTGATGACTTTATATCACACACACACACACCCTAACCTAACCTATTTTATTAATCATTATCTTAACCTAACCTAACCCCACCAGGTAACGTTAGGGTGTTTAATCATCGGGTGAAATAAGCTTGGGGGAGGGGAAGGGGGGGGAAGGGGGGAGGGGAAGGGGGGAGGGTTAAGTTTCAAATGGTCCAAATTGATGAATAATGATCACATCTTATTAACCAGCCACTGAGAGAGAACCAACATAATTTCCTCCGGTTTGGTTATAGATATTATTTAATCTTGTTGATAAAGCATTTCCTTTACTGATTGTCATTTGAACAATAACCCACTGCACCTCACTCCTTCCTGTCTGTCAAGTTCCGCTCGACACAAACACCACTACACCTCACGCCATTCTGTCTGTGTATCTATCTGTCTTTTTCATTCTATTGGACCTATCTGTCTGTCTATTTATCTTTCTATGAGAACAATGGGGTGAATGCCTTAATTTATTCCTCTATTCTTCACCTCTATACCGATACCTTATTTATCTCCTGGCCACCTCAACTAGAAGTGGCCACACCGAGAGAATGAGGCCAATAGTGTATGTAGGATTACTCCATTGTTCTTGGTAATTTTTTCCAGGACTATTTTTAATCCCATTATTGTTCCATTTTCCTTAAACTTGCAGGAGAAGCTGTAAATAAACGCACCACGACCGCCTCCAAGTTTAGCTCACAACGTCTGCTAATCGCTTACAACAAGGAGAACTTTCTTAAATCACTGTACCCAAATAGCGAAATGTTGGAGACGTTCGCTTCTTATCCTATGCGCTTGTTTGCTTTTGGGGCATCACTACTCGATTCATCTGTGATTTGGGATCTGATTGTTGATGGGGAAAGGTAAAGATGGTCGTGTGGCGTGATAGTCTACGTTGTTTCCTTATACATACCGGCGAAGCATTAGTATTCAAGTGTGTTGTGTCTGGTACCCTGAGTCACACACCCGCCGCTGAAGCTTACCTAGATAACTTTGGAAGACAATGATGAATTTTAAGATCGAATAAAAAAAAATGCGTGACAGGTGAAGAAAGATGTAAAATAGGTAAAGGAAGAGGGGAATAAACAAAGGCTAGAGAAAAGGAAAGGAGAGATATTTTAGAAGCAGATGAGAAACAGGAAAGTTACCCGAAAGAAGAGGGAAAGGAGGAGGAGGAGACAGATAGATAGGATGGAGAAGAGAACGAATTGGTTGTTATAAGTAATATGGCAGCAGCTGGGAAGAACACGTACAGTAGAGATGCAATGAGCAGTACAATATCGCAATATAAACACCTGTTGCTTTCATAACCAACACCCTGGAGGCGCGTGTACAACCAACGTATTAGAAAAACAACTCGACCTGTCTCTGTCGTGTCGTATGTAAGGAAAACACCATAATAATATTTGTACTGTACTTTTGTATCATTGAATCTCTAGCTTGTCTAAAATCTAAATCATATTTTGTGTTGTTTGCAGTAAAAATTGTCGTGGTGGGTGTTGACATGAGGCAGACATCCAGGACGTGAGATGTGTGCTTCAGTTCTCTCCCCGTGGTAGGTGCTGGGTTCAGGCTAGCCAGTGTTATGTCACAACTCCCTCCTCTTCCTCTGCGCCACATCACCACCACCACAAATACCTCCACAAACTTTCCTACTGTACACTCTCGACCTTTTTATAGATTTACATGTTTACAGTATATGCGGCATTCAAGCAAAGTGAACGTGTCAATATTTAAATGGGATCACCTGATTACTAAGCACCCCAGTTTATACCATGCAATGATTAAACAACCTAACGCTAACCTAACGCGAACCTAACCTAACAAGTCTTGGTAGCTAAACTCAAGAAAGTATAGTGCAGTAATAAGAATGATTTTACTTATTGTGTATGTATGTGCTGGGGGGGGGTGGTAGGGTAATGTAGGTGATAGAGTGTGGTGGATTTGGTCCTGTGTGTGTGTTGGTGCAAGAACGTTAGGTATCACAATGGTGCAAGTCTTAACAACATGCATTCACCTCTTCCCTCCTCTCCTCCTACCCAATGTCTACGTGAGGCATATCAACAAAATACACACATATACATACAATGACACACACACACACACATACACATACAGCGAGTAGTGACATACAGTAGGTTTCGCCATAGGTAACAAGTCTCCTGAAGGTGCCCAGGTGTAAGTTAGGTGAAGCATAACCCAGGAGCTACGATACCTCACCACCACCACCACCACCACCTACCAGTTAACATCTTACCGAATCGTTCTAAGTTAGTTTTGGGGACACACAGGGTCGGGGCAAATTCCTACATAGTACTGTACTACATAATCTCTCTAAGGCAGGGAGAGAGGAACCGATTCAACGTTACTCTGGTGTAGCTGTAATAAAAGTGTAATTGAGGGGTGAAGGGAATCGCCAGACGCTGTTTAGTGCTCGTGCTGGCGATGTTTATTATATTAAATTCCACGAGGATGACAGAATGCATCTATAAACGAGTGCGCTTTAGCGTGAACTCTCTTGTAAATGTATATTATAATGGCTCTGTTGGCTATACTTGGTCAAATACACTTGTTATTTATCATTGTTTACCTGCACTGTTTATATATATTGATTTATACCTGCACTGTCTATGTATATTATTAATTTGTGTTTGTACAATACATGCTGAATCAAGGCGATCTTGTATGGTGATTTTACTGAATGAATATCTATCTATCTATCAATACATCCAATTAAAGATGTTTTGGTTACGCAAGAAAGTCGGACGCACGCTCGCCTTACCAATAAGGTGAAAAAAAACAACTTGTTCCAATACCTAAGAATAGGATGAAGATTTAAACTGAACACCTGTACGCCTCAAGATGGTGTACACTGTTCTATTGTGTCATATTCTTGTGCTTGTGTTGCTGTTAACATCATGTTCGTCTGCCTCACCTGAGTCACCTTACCGCCTCACTCCCCCGCCCCTTACCCCAACTACACCTTTCCTCCTAAGTATTTCTGTCGTTTGGCTTTCCCTAACTCTCTCTCTTTACGAATTAGGCCAATGAGACATATCAGACATATCCAATAACTTAAAACTTGTATTTTTCTGTTAAGTCCTTCTTAGACACACAGATATATACAGTGTGTGTGTGTGTGTGTATGTGCTGCCTTCACACCCGCCCCCCCCCCCCACACACACCAGGCCTGCAGTTTGTCTCGTAACAAGTACATATCATCGAATCACTTTCTGTATATTGTTTGTATACCTGCACTGGTTATGTATTTTTTATAACCTATTTTAGAGGTAATCTTCGTGACGTTGGTATCCCCATGTTGCCTCAGGTTCTCCTTTGTTATTCCTTCTAATACTGTCTGATAGACTAGGTTAGGTTAGGTTAGGGTGGAGTGTTAAGGGTCAGGGTACAGACGTTATCTTATTTCATGTCCACTGTTCTTGAAGGCACTACCAGACACGTACTGTACACTCAAGCAGTCGTTACCATCTTAAATTATTGTTATCAGTGGCCATGACTTTCATCTTTCGATAAGTGCGTGCCGGTAATTAAGAAATGAATTAAGCATCTCGAAGTGTAGATTAAATACTCTTTTTCTCCTATTTCATTTTTACTCTTATTTTTCGTCCCCTGGGCCCCGGTGTGGGTCGATGACCTGTGCCCGGGTGCGCTATTCCCAGTAAAAAAATAAAAACTTTATTGTGTGCGGCCTATCGTGTTAGACATAGACTTTATAGTTGCATGTAGAGGTGACGGGTGGGGGAGGGAGGGAAGGCCCAACGGGGAGGGGTCTCCCTCCCCCCCCCGCACCGTCGACTCATCAGTGCTGTCTATTTAAACTTTATTTAATATATACGTCAATTCAGAATTGAAAATATCCTTAAGGGGGTTTTAGTTCTCACAGCTTCGTCGATAAATTCATTCTCCCTTTAATTTAATGTCTCATCTCTCGTTTAGGTTGCAAGAAATGTGTAATTACACGTATTTACCGGTGTCGCTTCGGCATAAGTATACAGCACATTATAAGGCGGAAACCTCTTGTTATCCTCCAGCCATAATACTTGGTGTCACATCTTCAGAACTTCCCTGAAGCTACCACAACCCTCCCGAACGTTTACTGTTACTGCGCGGAAGACGAAGAATGAAGCTATGGGTTTGTTGCCAAGCCAAGTTGTTTCTACCCGGCGTGAACTTCGTCACCCTGGTCCCTGTAGTAGTAATGGTGATACTTCTTGCTTCAAGGTCAGCGACGTGATGGCGCGGGAACCTTTTAAATATAAGCATTCATAGTGTGCCTATGAGTATTTCTCAATCATTTCATTATATAATAAACAAAATGTATTTCAGGAAGTTGAATTTATATAAGCGCCTTCATTATATAAATATAAACCTGAATGATGAGCTATATGGTGCATTTTATCAGTGTTTATTAATAATTTTAGTTAACATTCGAAAGTTTAAAGCTGACGCTACTACACAACATTACAGAGTGACGACACACCAACACTTTATTTATGTTTTATTTTCCTATAGAAGAGATAACTGAATGTGTCTTAAATAAAATAGTATAATTTTGTTAATAGAATATATTTTGTAAATTTAATATAAGTATATAAACTTCAAAGTAGTTATGAGTTAAAAGAAAGTTATCACTTTCGTAAGAACATTTTCATAAAAACGTACTATATTTTGTCATAAATATATATGATTTATGGATTTATATCATGTTAAATTTGCGTCACTTTTTATGTCTAAGAGTTTTGTGCTACAAGATAAGGAGATAGTGTACACATAAGGTTAATACAGTCCTGAATGCTGGTATGGGCGGTGAGTGTGGGAGGTGAGGCAGCCAGTCACTGAGCTATCATGGCGGAAGAGGCCAAAGATGCCGTCCCTCCAAGTGAGGAATCCTTGGTCACCTCTCTTCTCACGGAAATATTCACATCTCCTATAAACATATTCCTTTTAGGAGTATGTGTTGTCCTCATCTATAAAATCTTCCGACCTTCGAATGGCAGTGGTGCAGGTAAGAGCAATGGTAGGTGGGGTGACAGCTTCACTACTCTGGTGACGGAATTGGTCTTATATAAATGTGCTTGAAAGGAAGAATAAAATTTTTGAGGGGATTAATGAAGTTTGTTCCTAGACACCGCATTATTGGTTTATAATGTACTGAATTGCCAATAGTGTCATGGAATTACCTTGGCAGTAACAAACTTTGGTAGTTAGTGACTTTCCCGTAATTTCCATGTCAGTATGTGTTAAGACTTGAATGTTTATGTCTAATTCTAAAGAGATTTTGCCTCAGCATATTAATTAGTGTTTTAACCATTTTTCTATAGAATTAGAAAAGCTATAATCATTTAAATCACCAAACAAGTTCACAGTGGTTCAATATATACATAGCGCAGGCAAGCAAACATTGGTCAAGTGCAAGTTATTTTAATCGAGGATATTGCAGGATTAATGGCGAAAGCTTACTTTAATTGTGTAAACAGTTTGAGGACAATAACAAACAAATATAAAGGTTGGACTTGGTCGGTTGTTGTTTATTTAGACGGTCCGACTAATTATCCAAATGTAGCCGCAATGAAGTCAAATGATGGTCGTACAAGCGTAATTCGGGCTGTGAATCACTGCTCGATTATTATTTGGTGTCAAAGTAAAAAAAAAATGGGTAAACTTAATTTAATCTGAGTTGTGTTAGGTTAGATTAGGTTAGGTTAGGTACATGCACTTGATCTATTAACTCAGATTAAATTAAGTTTACCAATTTTTTGTGACTTAGTGACACCAAATACTAGTCGAGAAGTGATTGGCAGTCCGATTTATTCATCAAGGACCATTATTTGACTTTATTGCGACTACATTTGGGTACATTTGGGTAATTCCTCGCTCCCTCGGTACATGCACGCGATCTATTAACTCAGATTAAAGTAAGTTTTCCAATTTTTTGTTACTTTCTGACACCAAATACTAGTCGAGAAGTGATTGGCAGTCCGATTTATTCATCTAGGACCATTATTTGACTTCATTCCGGCTATATTTGGATACATTTGGGTAATTAGTCGGACCCTTATTTAGATATTCAAACTAACATAAGTGGGTTGTTCACGTCCAAAACACAAGTATACGTTATATATGTTACACAAATATATGGTTGCCTCATTTTTTGTGGCGTGAGGACGTAAATGAAATAAACTCGATTTTAAAGATCTTGTACTTAGTTTGTTTTATGATAGAATGTATTTTTTGGGGGTTGGGTTGTGGGTAGAGACTAAAGCTTAAGGTTAGGTAGGCTACTGAAGGTGCACAGGGTATTATTATCGTCTTGGTCATCCAGCGACTTTTAGTATTTTACGTTTGGGTTTGGTTAGGTTAGGTTGAAGTTTTGTTTTTCCGATGTTTTTTTTGTGTGTTTTGAACAGCTTTCAAATAGGTGGAAGACCGAAACGATAATTTTACCAGCACAATGCCTTACTTATATTAACTAGTTTGATTTTATATAGTTACTGCTCCACTTCTGACTGAGGGTTTTCTGGAATCTCTTGTTTTACTGAATCTAAGCTTACAAGGTCACATGCAGTTAATATTGTACAGGATGTATGTAGTCAAATTTAATAACTTAATTTATCCATTATTTATCCAATCATCTTTTAAATGATAAGAGTAACACTGGTTTTGAGTTTATAGCTTCAGTAGCCAGGGATGCTACTGGAAATAAACACCTGATGGCTTTGTTGACTATCCTTACTGTAGTCGAATCATTGTACAGTATTGTTTACCTTTTTTTGTATACTCGCACTGTCTACGTATAATGGAAATTGTATTCCTGCATAGTATGTATACTGTACCTGTGTTGTTTGTATATATACTGAACTGTGTAACTGTAATGTCTGTCTTGATGTTGAAGCTATTGTAAACTTGTTTGACGATTTTATTAAATATTTACTTATACAGGGAGTCCAACATGAATGCCCAGCCTATGAACACCTGTACTTAATAACTTGATCCCAATATATTCTTAATAAAAATGTTCTGCCCAATGAACATTTCATTGGCACTGTACTTACAAATGGGTGCTACTTTGTTCAGCGGTTGGCCTCCGCCCGTGCTTGGCGGTTCCGTGTCCCAGCAACGACGACTGTCCACTGGTTTGCACAATTTTACTTTACGTACAACATTGACAGGTTTTACAATATTTGTTATGTATGGGATATTACTGTTGTTTTGTATGGGTAGGTTTGTGTTTTAACCTAACCTAACCTGTGGAATTAACACTGTTCTGACTTACGAACAGATCAACTTACGAACAGGGTCCAGGAACGCAACCCTTTCATAATCTAGGGATTCCCTGCATTCTAGATATCAACAGAACTCAAACAGAATTCAATTTTTCCTAGTGTTTGTTCTTGGTCTTTTGTTGTAGATTTTAGTCATTCTTCTTTTTGTTTCTTGTTCTCTTAATTTGAGTAAGTTTCCTATTTCATCATTGTAGATTCAAGCCATAATTTTGAATATCTTTGGCAATCACCATTTGTTCTCTTCATTACACTAGTGTTGGTCGTTCAGGTTCCGTAAGACACTGTTCATAGCCAAGGTCTGTGTCCGAGTGGTCCTTGTAGCAGTTTAAATTTTTTTTTCCATACAATCATATGTTCTCTCAATCACTTCCATTGCTGAATTCCTTGTTAACTTTTACTATCGTCTGTTGGTCTGCCTCTGAATATTCCACAATATTTGTTTTGCTGGTCTGTTATGCAATACACTTGGTAGAATGAGCAAAACATGGTACAGTATTGTTTGCTATGCATCATGAATGAGCCACTACTATATCTTTCCTCTCCATTGTCACTGATTTTCTGTTCTGTGTTGCCAAGTTCACTGATGGCATACCTTTTCATATTGCTTTACTTTATCACAGTTTTCATTGTATGTCTTTTTCTTTTTTTTGGAGGGCTCAGAAACATTTCCAAGGTAGCACCACAGTTTCAGTGTGCAAACTCACGTGTCACGCCACGAAGACTTTAACACAGATGCCGTGTGCTGATTTTTTTCTTGTTTTCTTTGTGGACAGGAACAAATGTTGTTAGATAAAATTGATATCGGAACAGTAGCTGCAAAGAACATACGGACTAATAATTGTTATTAATAAGAGTGGTTATAAATGGATTTGCTTATGAGATAATAATTTTCTATTATTTTAATTGAAAAAAAACATTTACAGTAATTCATTTTGCATAAGACCATTTTTTTTTGTAACTAAACAGTGTTAAACACTCACTTTTGCATGCTGCAAAATTACCACTCACCCAGCGGGCTAGTAAATATAAAATTTAACTTGCCCTAAGGATTTTCCACTCGCCACAGGTGACATTTTGAATTCCCTTCATTAATGCCACTCACCAAATTTACACTTTGTTTATATATAATATAATTAAGATTTAACTCATCAAACATATATTTGTTATTAAATTAAAAAAAAATCTTAATTTATACCCAGTATGTGATGAAATATTGCAAATACCAGTATACAGGCTGTTGATATATATTATGGCTTTTGCTTTTGGGTTCTAATCAAATTTTACAAAATGTGGCCCACTGAGGTGAGGGAGGATCACTCTTGTGGCTTGACTACCTTGGGTTGTTCGTCACTGTTTAAGGAAATACTGTTCTGTATATAAAGATTCCATAGTTTGATTGCAAAATTTTTATTAAATTTTGACGTCATGTGATGAATGTGCTGCACAGTATATTAAAAGATGTAAAACTAACCCCCAAACAGTTAGTACTGTACCTGTAGATTGCTAATGAACCAGCTAATTTTACCCTTTTAATTGTTCAGATTAGTGAACAAGGTCATTGTTGTATCACAGTGGGTACAGGAATGTAACTGATATCAAGTTTTCTGTGTATCTGGTTTAATTTGTTAAGTTTGCTTAATTTAACCTTGAAACACTTTTTTTGTACAGCTTCTGGACCACTGGAACCCCCAGTGCCTAAAATGAAACGACAGGACATGAACCTTGCGCAGCTAAAGCAGTATGATGGCACTGGAGAGCATGGAAGAGTTTGTGTGGCAGTGAATGGCAAGGTCTTTGATGTTACACGGGGCAAAAAATTCTATGGACCAGGTGTGTTGTTATTCTTTAGTGTGGTAACTGAGTCTCCTTCAGTGATGGGACATTGTTTTTCCTGTGTTTATTCTTTCTTTATGCTAATACTGTAGTTAAGTACTGTATCACTCCTTCAATTCACGGCCAATGATTTGAACCCTTGGGTCAGTGTACCCAGACCTCTTTTATATTTATTTATTTGCCTTTTTAAGAACTGACGGGTCAGAGGTAACCCCAAAATGAATATTTTTAGCCGCTTTTCATTCATGTTTAGACGAGTTAAGATGAAAGCTAGTACACATATACATATACTTTGTTAAGGGCCCACATAATGGTTCTTTGATGTAGGTTATGGTCATTAGGTGGTGCAGACAGCTGTCATTTTTCCCAGATCAGTAGTTTAGCCTGTGTAATCCAGTTAGCTCACCCTATCTTTTGTAACATTGTTTTAAGCTGATTGTAGTGCTAGTTTAGCACTGAGTCCTGTTAGTATTTTTGTGCATATGTATTACAGGGTGAACTTTTTATTTAATGGAAAAGACCTCCCACTTGGTTTATTTACCTAGATGCGCAACAGATTAAAATAAAATGGTGCATGCCAGACCACATTTGGAATTTTAAAGTGAAAAAAATTTCTTGTGGATTTTACCCTTGATGGATTCCTATTAGCAGGCACCAATAGTGATTTGAAACCCATCTGCTAACATAGGGTCTACTAATAGGAGGCTTTCTCATAAAGCTATTAAGAGCTAAATATGATGGCATTGAGTGCATTTGAGATTGAAAAGAGATTAAATAAGAAGTTGAATTGAACAAGTGATAGGCAGTTAATGGTCCTAGACAAATGGCTAAAACAATTGACATTGCAGCTTTAATTTTATTCGTGTTCAAGAAAAATAATGATTGATTGAAGTATGTACACACAGGCTGCTCATTCGTGAATTTTTGTGTATTGCAGGTGGACCTTATGCCGCCTTTGCTGGACACGACGCCACACGAGCGCTGGCAACGTTCAGTGTAAATGATGTTAAAGAGGAATATGATGATCTCAGTGATCTCTCTTCCATGCAGATGGACTCAGTCAGGGAATGGGAAATGCAATTCACTGGTAAGCATTTACTCTGTATGTGTTTTTTTTTGTGTACGTACATACACTCACCGCCATCAACATTTCCTGGCTGTCCTCCTGCACCACCATTACTCCCCTGCTGCCCCTTCATCACCATATGTGACTAAGTAGCCACACACCTTTTATCCAGCATGCCATGCTTGACCTGCCACTTGCACTTGACAGCTGATTTGATCTTACCTCAAACCACCACCTGACCACCTCCAGTCTCTAGCGCAGTCACAGATCTCACTTAGTGGCCAAATAACTCCTTGGGGCATCATCTGACTTCACTTAACTACTAAGGACCATTGGCAACCAGTCTGCCTCCTGTCCCCCTTGTCCTACAACATTTCACATTCTGTCAGATAGCACCAACTCATTCTTGGCTCCTGGTTATCTTGGCTAACCTGCTGAGACATGTGTAAGGTACTATACAGGTAGAAAAATGGACCAGTAGTGTACATGATAGAGTAAATTAGATTGTTTCATATCATCATCAATGTCTTACGGCCGCCCCCCCCCCCCAAACCCATAGATTTTTTTTTCTCCAGATTTTCGTTTTTACCGGACTGGGGTCTGCTTCAGTTAGCCTGGTGTATCAAGGTACTACTGTACCTTGGTTTCTTGTTCTTGTTTGTTGTAAGAAGGGAAGAACTGCATGAGACAAAACACAGGATCCTTTACAGAGAAGTCACAAGGTAGATTATTATGCATACATTCTGTTTTTTTTATGTCTCAAACTAATTTTACTTATGGTATTTGTATTTTCCAGAAAAGTATGACTACATCGGAAAGTTTTTGAAATCCGGAGAACAGCCAACAGAATATTCAGATGAGGAAGATGCAAAGGACACCAAATCCAATAAAGAGGACTAAGTATATTAATTGGATAGCAAACATGTATGTAGGTTAAGGCCTAAAGGTTCTAGCCAGACCCCAAAGTTTAGTAATTTGATCTCTTGGTAGTTTCTTAAAGAAATAATTTAGGAATACCCTATGCAAATATATACAGTATATATATATATATATATATATATATATATATATATATATATATATATATATATATATATATATATATATATATATATATATATATATATATATATATATATATATATATATATATATATATATATATATATATATATATATATATATATATATATATATATATATATTTCAAATTCATGAGATACTAACAGTAATTTTTTTTTAGAATATGATAATTTTATCACTTAATTTCTTGAGAAAATTTTCAAAGTAGGTTCTCAAGGTTAATTGAGAATTTATAATTCCAATATGACTTTGGTTAGTCTGGCAGAACCCTTCCAAAAATCCACTAGATGAAGAGGAATAGAAGGAGGGGAGATGTTGACAAGATCAGTCATTATAAGGCTTATGGAGTTATTTATTAAGGTCATGATATACTTGCCATTAAGTACGTTATGTCTTTGAAGATGTGGTTAAAGTCACTCAGAACATGAGAAGCCTCAGCTATATGTAATATAAACTACTGTATAAGAAAATCCATCTGGTCTTAAAGATCACTCCATGTTTTCGTCAGCTGTAATTTTTATAAACTTAGGTTTAGAAAATTAAGTTTCCAATGACTTTATTTTCTTTGAAACAATTTATTTACTCACCCTGTCATTTTGTAATTGAATGTTCTTAAGTGATAATTGTGTTAATTTAATTAACTATTGATGTACCAGTAGTCAGTACAATATATAAATATTCTGTTTCATTCATTAATTGTCAGATATTTGTTTACTGAGACAATTCAAGTTTTGGTGAGGAAAAGGGCAGCTCTTTACGGCACTTACCGTACTTGCTGACAACAGATGAAGGATACTGTGAGTGATCTACGAAGGCAGAAATTCTTCAGGATGACTGTCTGGAGACTACATAGAAGAAACATGATAGCTAAGTATGAGTGAAAAATGGCAGGCTTAATTTTGATAATTATCAGACACACATGCTAGGTGATAAAGATTTGGCCAATCATAAAACTACAGAGCTCCAGGGATGGTACAAGCTAAGAATGGGGTAGTGTGCTCTGACTTTGTTTTGAAAACAGCCTGAAATCAAACTTAGCCTTATGAACTACTGCAGAAGACTGATAATTTCTGGTCTTCTCTCAAGTGCTGATTCAGAGTTATTTTCATACCTAATCTTTAGCCATACGTGGCCAGATCCCATCTTTTCTAATCCACAGTGATTTATATTGTACCATAGATACACACATGTGCTTTCCTTATTCTTTCAGTTTCTAAAATACTGTGTGATGGAGATATTCAGTTAATAGATTCTGGATAGGATGTTTCATCTCATAAATTCATAATCTATTTACCGAGTATTTCGATATTGTGCTCATAGTTGCTAATCCATTCAAAGACGTCCTTTAAACTCTGCCTACCTATCACATTTGAGAATGAAGAGTAGGTATAACTAGTCTTAGTGGAGGAAAAGGTTCAGATAGTTGAACGTATTGTCTGAATTCAGAAGCACACACAGGAAGTAATTCATAGAAGGAATTTTGGCTTTGGCACAAATGTATATTGAGATGATAATGGGAGTAGAAAGCATCTTGTTGGTTTTCAGCTTGGTTAAGGTTTATATTCTAGATGAATGAAAATAAGTTTGACAAAGGAATTGTAATATATAGAGCTAAAAGACATGTGCATTCACAATTTATCAGCACATAGAATATGGAGTAAAGTAGCAGATCATATAAAGTCATTTTTAAACTTGAGATATTTGCTTGCAGTTTTTTAGCAAGTGATGACTTTAGTGAATGCTGATAATTAAGCTTAGTGTTGTACGAGTTTGCTTTAATTGCAACAGTAACCAAATCTGAAAATGGGCAATTTTTACCTTGTATTAGTAATGTTAACATAACATATAATCACAACAAAAGTCAAATCTTAAAATGAACATTTCTGTTCACACTTTTGTAAACCAGCAAAGTTGTGTCTGTGTTAGTAAATCACGTGCTTTAATGATGAGTCTTCTGTATTTAGTTGGGACTATTAATATGTTATTTGGTAAATTAATGTGTCAACCTTTTTGCTATGCTCATGATTTAATTTTTTAGTTATTAATGGTCTCCTCAGTAAACTGACCGGCCATGAACAGTTTGGGCTTTCCTAGCAATTATTATTATTTTTTTTTATGCCTTGATTGAATTGATTAAAATGGAGGAAGGATGTCTGACATGATATGATGCAAACTTCCACACCATTACATTTTTTAAGGAAAGGTTAAGCTTTCAAAGTCAGTTTGTTTACCCTGGCAAGAGGACTTCCCACAAGTGATGTAATGCTGTGGGGATAATAGTCCTCGTTCAAGTTTCTTGTATCTTTATAAGATATATCAACTTGTTTATGTTATCTAATTCAACCCTTACATCATGTGTAGGTAAAGGAATCAGCTATCCATGTACAAGAATGAACTTTAAACTTTCCTCAAGAAATTAGTTTGTGTGTGCATATCGGTATCGTCTAGCTGTCCAGCTATCTATTCGTTTGGCATTCCTGAAACTTGTTCTTCAGGCCTTGCATGAAGGAGTTGATTTAACTTTGTGATATTTAGAGAAGCAGAATTTGTATTTATATTTTTTACACAGTGTCAATGTAGTTTGATAAAATCCACATGGAACAAATGTTAAAAAAAAAATCTTGTGTAATAAAAAAGAAAACTATCCTTGTTATATTAGGAAGTTTTCAATTATGTACAGTTGAATGTTAATGTCTGTTCAAAAAGAGTCAATAAACTTTCCCTGTTATAAAAAAGAAAAATTTTCTATAAGGCTATTCTTTTTTGAGTACATACAGAAAGTGAAAACAAGAGAATGTTATATATAAATGCTCCTCCATGTGCTAGGACCTATGAAAAGGCTTGTACAGTAGTCACATTATTTTGTTGCCATTACTTTTTACACAGTTTTATGTAGTAAGTGTATGAATACGTGTAAAAACTATATCATTAAATTTTATAAATTTTTCTCATGGTGAATTTTGAATAGTGGAATAAACAGTAATAAGAACTTGAGATCCTCTTCTAAGTTGTTTTGCAGTGAATGGTATATTTTCATAAGTACAGTAAGAGGGAGACCGTCAAAGCCCCATAGGAGAGATAGTGAATCCACACACATCTTTTCTTACTTTAGTATCAATTTAAAAAAATTCTTTGAGCTTTTTAACCCGAAGCATCTCTCGAGACTTAAGTAACCAGCAATCATAAATAATGTATATAATCTTTGTTCTGGGGTAGCCTTTGGTTTGCTCTTTGATTTAACTTTTGACTTCTAGGTACAGTAAACCTAATTTTCTTTGGTTTATGAACTTATCACCCATGCTGAAGGGGTTATGTGATTAGGACAGGCGGTGTTGTCTGTCCGTCTCAAGTTATGTATGCCTGTAGCATAACTTTATCACTGGAAAGATTTACAGTGTTTATATTTGGTGTATATATCCATCATGACATCTCTCTAAAGCTGCCGTGTTTTTCAGCGCATTTATTTGATTACAGGTCCTGGTGACAATTTTTTAAAAGGTACGACCCAGTGTGGTATATATTCCCTAGGATTGTACGCCCACTTCTCCAGTACTGCCACCTTTTCCCGTCACTTGTATGGTACCGAACATGGCTGATGCTGTTCCTTCCTATCATGATCCTACAACCCCCACCTAAAACTTTCTGTTGAGCATTGATCTTTACAATATATAAGCCGGGTGTTATAAAAGCTTACATAAGTTGTGCTCAGCTTCCTTTGTTCAATTTAATGACTCTAATACCTTTATGTCTTCCCTTTTGTGCCATCCATAAAGTTCTGCCAGTTTGTTAATTTTTGTGTCGTCCAGTGAATCATCGCCATCATTCTTGAAGTAATTGATCTCATTTTCTCCCTCACAATGCCTTTCCCAGTTGACTGAATAACATAATTACTGTAGCGAGGAGGAGTTTAGGTAAGAACTTGAGTCCTTCGTGTGGTGGTTTACACATTGAGGTAATCCAGACAAGAATAGAAGACACCCTACAGTGAGAATATAGTTAGAACTTTGGCTTGGAGATATGTGAGGGACAAGGTGGCATCTCAAACTTAATCAAACAATCTAGGGACAGTTTTTGGTCAGGTGAGGATGAATAGTGGTTGGTTCCTGGCACGTGGAAAGTGAGGATAGGTTAAAGAAAAATCACCTTGGGAAGTATTGAGAATGTGAAAATAAATTTAAAAAAATCATATTTTGGAAACTAAATATAGAAGGAACAAAAGAAAGAAATACAATTTGCACATGTTGCAGTTATGCTGCTGATTATTTATTTTTCCTCGGTGTCTTTGGTTATGAGTGAAGGCTACCCCACTTGTGTAAGTTTCCTGTACTGTAAATTAAAAACAACATATTTCAGGCTATAGTGGTGGTCTTTTTGGGGTCTTTTATTTTTTATTTAATTGTTTTATTTATATACTTTTTTGCATAAAAGTTTTTGTATAGAAGAAATGTATCATTCAGTGTTGAGGGAACATCAAGTGTCTCTAAGTTAAAAGTCAGAAGCATAACTCCTGTATCACTAGAAAAGTGTAGACTAGAGAACCCTATTCAAATCTCCAATTCAGATGTTGGAGTTGCAAGTACAGGTTTCATCACTTAACAAAGTGCTGATTACCTATTTTCAAATTTACCCTACAGAATGCAGAGGCTAGTGTAAGGGGTACCCCTTGCATCTTGTGCAAGAAGAGCAAATGCATTACAGTGCTTTATATAAGAATGGAGTTCTTGCTTGCCTTCTTAGACGTGATATGTGGGCATGAGTGCCTTTGGGGTCATTGCTTGTACAGGTAGTTCTGCTATAACGCGATAATTGTGTTCTTGTAAAATATCGTGTTATAGAAAATCGCGTAATAGAAATAACAGGGCTTATGGAGAAAATAGGGTTAGGTGCAGATTACTCGAAATCGAAAAAATTTAGTAGTTAGCCTAACATAAAGGATAGCACAGTCTAAATAAATGTTACATTCATATCTAATAATGAAATCATACAGTAAATGTAACACTTTACCTTGAAAAAATATGAATGTAACTTGATGGGGGAGAAGGGTGATTTTGAGGTTGATAAAATCGAGCTTCTCTTCAAGTGTTATATACTTTCTTTTACGATCATCACCGGGAATTCTATCACCAGAATGCTTCTTGGAGATATTCTTCTTTACCATATTCACAGTTAATACCACAAAATTGGAGAAATAGTAAGCAAAAATCGCGTTATAGCAAACAAGCGTTCGCGTTATACAAATATCGTTCCTAATTCATAAATCGCGTTAGAGCAAATTCGCGTTATCAAAACAAGCATTATAGCAGAACTCACTGTATTTGCAAATTACATCTAGTGAGGAAAGTTAAGCATATTTACAGTCTAAGAGGAGGGTTATATGGTCAGGTAGGGATGCGATATGGAAGGTTGAGCATGGGGTTGAGGGAGGCACATAAACATTGACAATATTGAGGGACACAGCTTTGAATTTTTTTTTTATGGTGCAAAGGTGTAAGAAGCATGCATTGAGAGTCAAGGAGGCTGGGTGCTGGAGGTGCATATGGCAGCTGGGGTGGTGTCGCTGGTCCATTAGGAGGGACTGCTTGGGGAGGGGCGGGCCTAAGGCAGGAGCAGATGTGTTTGGCAATGAATGGCTCGGAGGAGTAACCAGCATGTGATGAGCCAGGAGAGGGGAGTGAGTGAGTGGCAGCAAAAGTTGCCATAATTTGCTGTAGTTTGTTGGTGATAAGGATGCCTGCATAAAATTGTGCAAACCGACGACTCTCCTCCATGCGTCACTGGAGTTTGTGCCGGAGGGACAGATCACCTGTCACTGGGAAGAATTTAGGACCATAGGTGGATTCATTTAAATCTGTTAGGTGAAGGTTGTGTTTAAAAAGTGTAACACTTGTATCCATGCAAATATTTTAATGAAACCAAGGGAATATGTGCTATCACAAGATATATTCTTTGAAAACTCCCAAGAGGATAGTACCATCACTGGACAATGGGCCGAACACCAAATTTGAAACTTCAAAGTCCTTGGTGAAGGTCACAAACTTTGTATAAAGTATTACTTTAGTATCAAATTAGATACCCCTTGGTGTTATGAGAAGATATGAGATGAACATTTATCATCACCAGACAAAACTCTGAACACTTCTAGTCTCAGTTTCAGATAAATACCATTCTTTATATTCTAAGAAATATACAGGTATAGGCAGATTTAGACAATCTATTTCTGGACCAGACATAGTCTAATTTTCTTCTGCCAATCACAGTACAGTACTTAATTTATTGTTTTTGAGTAATAAATTTTTTAATACAAAACATTTATCTAAACTATTTTCAAGTGTTATCATTATATTTTTAAACTACTCCCTAAATGGAAAACTTCGTATATTGCTTGGCAACAAATGATTTTTGGTGGAAAATGCATAAAGTACTATGTTTTATTTTTGGCATTTTAAAGAAATAAATATATCTACAACCTTTTTTTCAATTGCTTTCAGACCTACTATTGGATATGCTTTATAATGGCAATAACAGTTTACTAGTATTTCAATATATATATATATTTTTTTTCTTCCCAAAATAGTGATTTTTGCTGAAGAAATTTCATAAAGCATTTGTAAATTAAAATGGATTTTCGCATTGTATACCAATATAAATTAGAATATATTGTATGTTTGTACAAAAATTCTCTAGCATGTAATAAAGTGACATAAAATATGTTCTAAAGATCTCTTGAGGGAAACAGTAATTCTGAAAAATGATGAAATCATAATTGAACAGTAATGTACTGTACATGAAATACTAACAAGTTTAAACTTTAATCCAAGTTAAAATTCATTCTAAAGTGAAACTGGTGGTTGATGCTTAGTGTGGTGGGATGGTGATGGCTGTGAGGAATTGGGAAGGTTAAAGTGGGGCAGTAGGACCATATTCATCACTGGGGGAGGATCATCTGAAGCTGCTCTATTGTGGACTTCTTTAGAAGAGAGTTGTCATCTCTTTCCATCAAAAGAAGCTTTGCAGACCTTGATATCATGAATTATGAAGTCGGTTGTTTGCTTGGCACCCACTTCCTTTTCTCTGAACAGTTCCTTGCAGGCTTATTATTGCACCATGGGATTTTTGTTTTCCTTGTCATTCTCTCATAATCGTAATATGCAAGGCTAGTTCTACAATCAGCAAGACTCCTTCTCTTACAAAGACTATCAATTTTCTTTATTGCAAGGAAGTGGCTTGTACTGGGACTTTTTATGTCCGAAAAGTTTATGCTTTAGAATGCCATTTGGGGTTGGCTGCCTATGTTATCGTGTAGACGCCATTGCAAATTTTTTGATTTGCATCATGCTACGAGTTCGTGAATAGGATAGGCGAAGATGAGAAGTAAGGTAACATTGTACTGTATTGCAACAATTCATCACTGTCCATCCCGAGGCTATTTTCTAGAAGCATCATGTCTTTTGTTATGAGTGCACTTTTTTGTAGTTGCCAAAATATACACACGGCTGTTAATATTCAATAACAATGTTTATATTGAGTTATTAACAAATACAAGTTTTATTATCTTATTAGAGGTAAACAAGTCCAACACAACCAAACCTTATCCACATAACTTCGCCTAACGAAATTTTACTGATATACTGTATAGCTTAATAAGACATTTTCTCTCTGGCTTATTGATGTTTACTTCAATAATTGATATACGTACCACACTTGGGTCTAATTTTGTACTATTGTCTCGCGAAATTATTCCTTAGTTCACTATATAAGTTGCTTCAGGCTTTTCTTGTTCTGTATTCTTTTATTTAATTTTCGCCACTTATCAGCTTACAAGCCGTTCAGGAGATCTATCCAGTATTAGTACAGGAGGAAACCGGGTACTGGGAAACTTGTGATGTTTGGCAAGGTCACACTGGATAATAATAATAAACAGTTTATTAATAGAGTTGCAGCCAGTGGCTGA